AGACAGCTGAGTGTTATGCTCTCTGGGAAGTCTGTGTTCAGAGAAACAGTCAGTTAAGGCTTTTACCTATAGCTGGTACCACTCTAGTGTACTTTCATTTGCTATCAACCAATAATAATGTCTTCACACACTCAGAATGAATGACTTGGGTGTGAAAGTTAAAAACAAAATTCAAAAACCACTTCAGTCTTGAAGCTCTCAACCCATTCAGTTTGCGATTTTTGGCACCTTCGATTCCATAGAAGATTTAGAATTTCAGGCTGCTTCAGCCACACTGTGAGTACATTTCCATATGGATGTGCTAATCAATTGTGGAGGTGACTAACCACTGCTGAGCAATTACATCTGGCAAAGTGAACAAATGGGAACATTGGAAACAGTCATTCTTAGAGGTATTCATTGTTGCTTCTCACCCAGAAGACAGAAGAGCTGATGCCCAGGGACATTTCTCTTTTTATTGATGATCCTGGGAATCCTTGCTCAGCCTTTTTTTTCTCATAAAGAGCTCAGGACACTCTACTCACTTAGCCATAAGTATTTCAAAATCTAGAAATGCCAAACCCTTAAATTAGCAGAGATCAATACTTAGTTACATACATTTCTACAGGCCACAACATAAATGTATGAATTCCTGTGTATGTAGGGGTCCCTGCCTGAGCTTCAATGATTCCTTCTTTCTTGAGATAAGAGACCGTTATGGGTCCCTGGTGACAACATTTATATGAGTGCAACTTTCCTTCCAGCTTTTACTAAATAATTTGGAAGAGTTGGCACCTAATCCAAGTTGAGCCAATGAAATCCTCTTGAGTATTTGAAATTTGGAACAGATAGATCCCAAGAAGGAAGTTATTTCACTAATGTCAGTGTTCTTCAGAGAAAGTCAGGCACTTTTCACAGCTCTAGTTCCTAGAGCTATTTCCCTCTTTGAGTTGTGATTACTTTACTTTGCTCGGTTTCATAATGAAACTTGAGGCAGAAGTAAACTGGTCCAGGTGATACTAGTTGAGAAATCATTAGATCATGGGCAAGCCTCTGGTGTGATATATAGTTTCCCAAGGTGATTATCTATTAGATATTGTATCTATTGATTGCTAAAAGGATTGATCATAACAAGTAGCAACAGTAAATTCAGTTATGCTTTAAAAAAGATTTTTTTTTTGGTCACTCACAACTCTAGGACACATATCTATGAAACATTTGTTATTCATTTATATACAATGCTTTGTTGGCTTTTCAAATTGCTTTGTAAAAATTCCAGAGCTTCACAACATGGGAATCAGTAATTCGACAAAAGATGCCTGTCCTTCTTCCGATATGATGTGGTTCACTTACTTGATGACACATGTCTGAAAATGAGGTCAATTAAGTGAGGTATGCTGACCAAGAGGGCTCAAATGATGCTCTCAAGTATCCCTAAAGCTCTTCCATAGTTCCATAAATATTTTATTTTAATTTGATTTTTAAATATTGTAATTATTTTAAGCTATAATAAGAAGCATACACACTGTAATGCATCCTATGCCACATTTTTATGCATTCAAGACCATCATAGTATTAACTTTTGCTACCAGATTAACTTATGCAGAGCATGAAGCAACAAGTAAAGCTTCCCTTTAATCCATATTAAACACCTGCCAGAGTCCAGTCATCTAGGGATGTATCTGAACCTTTGTAAAAGTGTGATTGATTATAGAGAAGGTTCCTTGATAACCTGGGGGTTCCCCCCTGCTAATTCAGGGAAGCCTATAGCCAGTCCTGTGAGATTTTAGAAGTAAGTGTTTCCTTCCTTATTAGGATTTTTTGATACTATACAAAAATAATTGGTGCTGAGAGAGATATAAGATCATAATTCTCACTGTACCCCCTGCTTTCAAATTCTGTGCTCATTAAAATAGATGTCAACACGATGGACTCTGAAAAACAAACTGAGGGTTCTAGAGGGGAGGGAGGTGGGAGGATGGGTTAGCCTGGTGGTGGGTATTGAGGAGGGCACGTTCTGCATGGAGCACTGGGTGTTATGCACAAACAATGAATCATGGAACACTTCATCTGGAACTAATGATGTAATGTATGGGGATTAACATAAGAATTTAAAAAAAAGAAAAAGAAAAAAAATAGATGTCAACATTTGAATTTATAAGGTAATTTTATATTAACAAAATACGGCTTTCATTTCATTTGTGTTTTATATATTGAGGTTCTCTAGAAGATTTCATTTTATTAAAATTATCCTCAGAGGAAAAATGTTTGAAAACCACCGTTGTAGCAGGGTTTCTCAACCTTGGCACCACTGACGCTTTGGAATAGATAATTCTTTATTGTTGGGTGCTATCCTGGGCATTGTAAGATGTTTAGCTGCAGCCCTGCCTCTACCCACTGGATGCCAGTAGCAAGCCTCCGCCCCCAGTCTGATGATCAAATATATGTCTCCAGATATTGCCAAATGTCCCCTGTGGGGGGAAAAATATCCCTGGTTGAGAATTACTGGCTAAATCATAGGGCTGGCCACACTATTCATTTCTAGGGAATGTTCATATCCTCCTGAATTTTTTAATTCATAAGAAGCTATTAAAGAATATAGTAAAGTAGATAGGTGATTTTTAAAGCATTTTAAATATTCATTGTGTCCTCTTATTGAGGGTATTTGAGATACATGCAGGCCATAAAAATAATGTTGTGGAATTGTATTTCCAGACAACAGAAGATAATTAATGATATATTATTAAGTGGAAAAATTAATTCGTGTGATAATGGGAGTGGGAAGCAATAAGGAATCTGGTAAAATACTTTTATGTACTAAATTCCGGAATACAACTAGTTTTCATATTTTTTGTAAAGTACTTGGAAGAAATTTTTAATTGAATTTTAAAATTCCTTTTGCTCTTATATAAAGCTAAAATAAATCTGATTAAATTGACCAACATCCTGTCTAAGAAAGGCTTCAAAGGGAACATGCAAATGTTCATCTTGCTAAACTTCCATTTTTAAAAAACCTTTATTTATTTATTTATTTATTTATTTGAGAGAGAGCACAAGTGAGGGGAAGGGCTGAAGGAGAAGGAGAGAGAGAACCTACAGCAGACCCTCTCCTCCGCCCCCCACTGAGCACAAAGCCCCCGGGGCTTGTTATCTCAGGATCCTGAAATCATGACCTGAGCAGAAATCAAGAGTCCGCCACTCAACCGACTCAGCTACGCCAGCGCCCCTAAACTTTCATTTTTTGTAAGGAAAGCCAAAGAGAAATTGGAAACAGTTAGTGTATTTCCTAATAATGTTTTTAAGAAGGTGCCTGTTAGGTTAACACAAATTACCAAAATAATAACTCGTCTTAGCAGCCACAAAAAAAAAACATAGGTTTGAGAAACACCTTGTTGAATTTAAATATACTGTTGATGAGAGTATAAATTGGCACAACTTCTATGAAGGGTGATGTAGCAAAATTTTAAGTGTATATACCATTTTTCCTAACAATTCCCGTTCTAGAAACAGCCAACAGATATAGCCAGACATAGTAGAGTATATTAGTATATTCAGAGCATCTTCATCTGTAAAAGTAAAAAAATAAGAAATGATGTAAATGCCCACTGAAGTGTCATTCGAAAAATAAATCATGATATTTCCATAGAGCTGAACCTGCTATGGTAAATTTTTTTTAAGATGGCTTATTATTTACTGACAAGGAACCAAATCCAAGATGCATTGTTAATGAAAACAAGCAAGGTCCAGAACAGGGGACATAGTAGATGTTATCTAAGAAGTTTCCCCCTAAGAAGACATACCTGTCTTCTTTTGCACACAGAGTATTTATGGAAAATGTCCAATGTTGTAGCTCTTGGGGATTAAGGCAGAAAGGAAACATAACTAAATTTTAATCTTTTGAATTCTTTAAATTATGGTTAGACATTACTTTGTGGAGAAGGATCATGCAATTTGTTTTTTAAGAAAAGTACTTTGTCAATTCCTAAGTAATACCAAATGTTTGTAAGCATGGACTAACCATAGGAATTTAAGTTACTCTCAGACTCCACATTCTAGGAAACTTATACAGGCAAGAGAAAATGGAGGGATAATAGAAACCCCAGTAGGATATCTAGAGTCAAGGTCCTGGGATTTGTATAAACAAATAAGCTGAGCGGAGAACAGAAGGTGGTAAATAAGGTGTGAACACCAATCCTAGGATAGTGTTTCTTTACTGGTTATACATTACCTGCTGAGTATAGGTAGGTGAGGATCTCAGAGATGAATCCAACAAGTCTCGCTAATAGTGGGGAATGAATGTGAGGCCCCAAATGTCATGGAGGATGGGTTTTATTGTTTTTGTCATTTTTGTTGTTGTTTTATTACTAGGTTATAGTAGGAGAGGGAGGTAGGTTTTGATGCATAGTGTTGATCTCCTCCTACTCATAAGGCCAGACTTGCTGTAAATATTGTCACAGACATTGCTTTAGTAAGTATAGGAAGGACCATGGGATAGTAACAGCTGTAACATGACCATCATTTGTGGAGAACTAAGAATGGGCCACCAGGCTAGGAGTTTGAACACATTATCTCTTTTACTCCTCATAGCCATCCTTTGCAGTAGGTGGGTTTTTTTTTTTTAAGATTTTATTTATTTATTCATGAAAGACAGAGAGAGAGAGGCAGAGACAGAGGGAGAAGCAGGCTCCCCCCTGAGCAGGGAGCCTGATGCAGAACTCGATCCCAGGACCCCAGGATCATGACCTGAGCCGAAGGCAGACGCTTAACCATCTGAGCCACCCAGGTGCCCTGCAGTAGGTGTTTTGATTGATGAGGGGACCTAGGCTTATGGAGATAAATAAGCCAGAGCCAGCTCACACACCTAATGGCAGCAAAGAAAGACTTGATCTTAATCTGCTCACCTTCAAAAATTTTAATCACAAAATTTTGATGTCAACCAGTAAACATGATTTGGGGCTGAGAAGCCTGGAAATGAAAGTCATCATCCTTATGAAGCTGTCTTTTCTCTCTCATCCTGACAGGATCACAACCACAGCTGCATGTATGATGGATCTACGAAGATATCCTCTGGATGAACAGAACTGCACTCTGGAGATTGAAAGTTGTGAGTTACTTGGACAGGGGAATGAGAAAGAGGGATGTTTGCTTGACCCAATTAAATTCAACTTTGCACTGAGTAATCGGTACTGAGATACTTTTAGCTACACCACCCTGCCAACTTTTCAAGAGATTCACAGTCCAGTGACATCTTCTCTCACATTGGTGGCTCAAGGGTCATTTCAATGCAGTTATATTTTTGAAACGTTAGAGAAAGTCCACTTATTTTAGCTGGACATTTTACGAATGCATGCTTTTCTCTTTAGAGTGGAGTTTCCCCCGAGGCCATCTAATACCCAAGCTGCATTAATAAGAGAAGAAAAACATGTTAGTATGAAACGACCTTGTGAGATTGTTTTTGGTTCTATAATCTGTGCACCTGAATGACTGTAAATTGTTGGCTTTTAGAAAAACAGTATGTTAGAGTCTTGTGCACATTGTCTTTCTTCATGGGAAGAACAGGATGATAAATGGTATTCATGAGGCTTGTGCTTTGGGCCAAAGAGTTCATGTTTTACAAGTCTAGTGATTGATTTTTGTTTGTCTTCTTGTGCTGTTTTTCATTGATTGCTTTCTTAACAATTAGAATATTTTAGTCACTAATATTTAATCTTATTGACTGTTTCATTGTTTCTCAGCCATCAACATGCAGGCAGTTGAGCCCATTTATTGTGAATACCAGGCCTAGGCAATTTCCTGGTTTTCAGGGGCACAGAAGGGTAGCAGGAGGTAATTCAGAGCGTTATAACATGGCTTAATGTAATGTGAGAAATAGCTATTTATTTAGATAATCTAAAATAGTTCTAGATCTAAACATCAAAATAGCAAAGGAAAATTTCAGGTGACCCTATAGTGTTATTAAAGAATAAATGTATTCACCAGTGTCTAATTATTAAGTAATTACATTAATTTTCTAGTTTTAATATATATAGGCTTGGAAATAAATAGAAATGTTTATGTAGAAAGAGCTGTATATATTTAGACATACATATTGATCTACTCCCACTAGAACCTGGAATGAACAAGATCATTCATGAGTTATTCTTTAATTAATATTCTAATTTTAAAATACATCGTATAAATAAGTTGGTTGAAATTATTGATGGTGACTTTTGGTTTAAATGCCAATGACAACCAAATTCAAACCACAGGAATGAAATATGAACCCAACTATTTATTAATGGCTGTGATGTGTAATAAATTAGGCTGAACTTTAGCTCTTAGAACTGATACAGAAAGAGAAGGATGAATTCATTACTCATTCATACAGGTTGGCTTTTACTCTTGACCTCTTTTCCATTGATTCTACTGAGTGTTACCTTTGCTTCTGTGTTGGTCAGCATTAGGATTTGACAACCTCTTGAAATTCCAAGGTTTTCTGGTTACACCATTCAATTTTAACTTGAATTGTTTCTGTGTTGTAGATTGCAAGTACTAAAATTAGCAGCATTTTCTCACAAAATATATATTTTATTTTATAATGCATATCAAGTTTTCCTGTTATCATAGGTTTATATTTTTCTTTAAGCAGGGGATTTTCTTTGTTCAGACTTAGAAAACAGTTGACTTTTAGGTCCATTTATCATATCATATAATGACAAAAAAAACTGTAAATGAAGCAGAAATTAAACATAACTTTTGTGGGGTGGGGATGGGGGAAGTCCAAGCAACCTGATAGTCCAAAGTTATCATAAAAACGATGTCAGGCAAAAGGGGGTGACCCGAGCATATCATAATCATTGAGAGAATTCAGTAAGATGCAATCAGTTGTCTGGATAGATGGATAAGGCATAGTAATTAGGACCCTAAAATCAGCTAATATGTAGGAATGCAGGCAGATGGTGACCGTCATCAAAGTAATCCAATAGCAGTTCACAGAAATCTGGTCCCTAAAGATATTTACCTAAAGTAAAGCAAAACTCAGGCCTGGAGAACTGGTGCAATGTGGAGTCTATGAAGGCAGGAACCTGGGAGAAAGGGGGTAAAAAACGGAACTGTCTTCTACTTGCCAAACAAAAGCTAGACATTAATATAACACCTCTGGAATGTAAGTATTTCTAACAACATTTGAGAGAGTGTGTATCTGAGGCTCAGAGAATTAAATAACTTACCCAGGAACACAGGGCAAGGATAGTGGTAAAATGGGGATTCAAACCCAGATGATATACTTTCCATCACAGAATCCTGCAGTCAGTAGGTGAGCAAGGCAGCAGAACATAAATGATTAGAAGCGTAATACCAATTGGAACCACTCAGCTAGGTTGAGGATGCTGAATCAACCAAAGACTGGTCTGTATTTCCTAAAATTATCCCTGATAAATAGATCTCAGAAGCTGAAGCAGAATTTTGCTTTTAGATCAAAGGTCAAATGATTGCAACTGTGGAGAGAGAGGGTAGACAGTCTGTGGATGCAGGCAACCGAGTAGTCCTTGATTCCATTGATGTTAACCTAAAAAAAAAATTTAAAGGCCTCAAATGACAACATTGCCTAGCTTAATGTTTTACTTAAAATGTATCCCTTTTTAATTAACCACTGTAAAGAGATTTTAAATCTTCAGAGTAATAACTTCAAGTAACTAAGTAACATATGGCAAATATATCCCACTCCCCCTGCTTGTGTTCCCTCTCTTGCTGTGTCTCTCTCTGTCAAATAAATAAAAAATCTTTAATAATATGGAGTTTGAATGAGATTTGCTTGTTTTTGCCTGCATACATAATCAATATGTTGCTAAGTATCAGTAAGTACTGAATCTGTCAGTCATCTATTTTTTAACTCTTCATGAAGAGACCTGTATTGCATTATTTGCTGAAACAGCTCTCCCTGAACTGACAGTTTATGAAGACTATAACTGAGCTTTAAAGTGATTACAAATGAGAAGCTCTAGTATTAGTTGTGAAATAAGAATGATAAAGTGGACATTCTGCCAATGTAAGATTGCACGAATCACACTTTTGTGACCAATAGAGTGGAAACTTGACCTATCTTACAAAATTTACTGGCTTATGTTCTCTTCCATCACCATCCCAAGGATGGGGAAATGTTTTTCTTGGTTATGTCCTTTGAGACAAATTAAAGATGTTTTGCTTTACTTTAATGTCACCTAGTCAAGTAAAATTGGAAAGGCCATAAAGCCTTGTAAAATTGAAAATTTACTTGAACTTGGAGCCCATTAATAGCTTCTTGGCCCTGGGCTACTATAAAATGAGTTAATGGCACATAGAAAATGCAATCAAGGAATTTAGTATTAAGAGGATTTGGAATTTGAAATCAGTAAAGCTATCATGTGAAGACTTGATAGCCACAAGCTTCCTGGAGATATAGAAAGGGTTTGCAATAATAGTCGTGGAGGATTCAAGTGCCTTTTCCCATTCCTTACAGCAACAATTGAGGAAAATCTCAGCAGATAGTGTTACCTCTACCCAAAAAGGTAGAAGCCATTTCAGGTCTGAAATCTCCTAATGGTTTCATCTGTCTTCTTCTAGACTTCCTTATATCTTCACCATGCTGAGTTAGCCCCCTGCATTTCAAAGGAAGAGGTACTTCTATTCCCTGTATAGACTGATCTGACCCTTGTGTTCAGGATTTCATCTCTTCCTCCCCTGGGAATTGATTTTCTCAAGTTCACACACACTTCTACTCCTGCTCTCCTAGAGCCTCAGCCTCACCCTGTCTGCTACCTCTCTTCACAGCCTGAAAACTCTTATCATAAACACCTCTGCCCTATGCCCACATCTCTCCTTAAGCTTTTCTTAATCTCTCTGCTTTCTTTTTCTCCAAACTGCTTAAAAGATTGGTCTATGTCTTGTCTGTTGTCTAACTTCTACTTAACCCACTGTAACTTGGAACCTGCCTACCCATCTCCCACCTCCACTGGCAGTGTTCTCCGAAACGTTACAAAGGGCCTCTCTTTACATACCATCTTTATCTAATAATCCCCAAATTTATAACTCCAGCTCAGATATCTTCGAAGCCCCAGACTGATATATAGCACTCTTCTTGGCATATTTACCTTTATGTTTCAAAGACTTCTTACATTTAATTTGCTCAAAACTTAACTATCAATTTTTCTCTCCCAAATGAGTTTCCTTTCTAATCTCTTAATCCCACTATCCAACCAGCATCCTAGGATTAGTGGTTAACATTTCCCTCACACTCCTCCCAACCAATCTATTGTCAAGTACCATCCATTCTATTTGCAAGATATTTATCAAACCCTTTCACCACTCTTCCAACCTTACTGCCACCAAACCACCATGACTTCTTACCTGAATCATTGTAGCCATCTTTTTTTTTTTAACTTTTAAGATTCACTTTATTAACAACTTTCAAATATACAGTATAGTATTAAATGTAGTCATCATGCTGTACATCCCATGATTTAATTATTTTATAACTCGAATTTTGTACCTTTTGACCCCCTTCACCAACCCCCCACACCCAACTCTGGCAACCACCAATCTGGTCTCTGTATATGTGAGTTCTCTCTTTTTTTTTTTTTTAGAGTCCACATTTTAGTGAGATTGTATAGTATTTGTCTTTCTTTTTTTAAAATTTTTTATTGTTATGTTAATCACCATACATCATTAGTTTGATGTAGTGTTCCATGATTCATTGTTTGTGCATAACACCCAGTGCTCCATGCAGAACGTGCCCTCCTCAATACCCATCACCAGGCTAACCCATCCTCCCAGCCCCCTCCTCTCTAGAAACCTCATTTGTTTTTCAGAGTCCATCGTCTCTCATGGTTCGTCTCCCCCTCCAATTCCCCCCCTTCATTCTTCCCCTCCTGCTATCTTCTTCTTCTTTTTTTTCTTAACATATATTACATTATTTGTTTCATAGGTACAAAATTGTGCAAGACGGTTGAATTCACAGATCTGTACCTCTGTAGCCATCTTTTTATTGGTCTTCTTGCTTTCACTCCTGATTCTCCCCAACCCATTCTGTACCCAGCAGCCAGAGTGATCTTTGCAATATGTAAATTGAATCATATTCTATGCTAAAAA